GACTGGGTCAATTATGGAATTGGTTGACCTCGTTTTCGCAACCTATTTAAGTTAGAAGTTTTATATGTACTAAGAACATTGCTTCGTTGACGGTACCAAGAAACATCTGGGAATGCACGAATTTAGCCGTCTGATGCTGTAACTCACGAATCATGTGGTAGATAACATTATTGGGTTCGTTGTAATATGTCTCCTTAACACCGGCCAATTTGCGTAAACAAGGTAAATCCAACCTTGTAAAGCTAATGGAGATTGCGATAAAACAGAACACAAACCATCTTGCTTTTCATGTCTATTTCTTAGTTATGATTTTACCTATATTAGCACTAAGTAAATTTTAATCCTTAGGGTTATTTGTTTCTAACTCTATTGGTAGCTTAATTATGTCTTAATGCTTATTTGTTATTATATTCTCTTCAATTTTCGATCATTATCTCATCTATTAGAGAGCCAACATTTACAAATTTATGAATCTTGTCTCGTTACTATTGTTTACCTTTTTTTATTTGAAACTTGCCAATCCTGGAATTTTTTCCAATAATCTGTTTTATTTATTAATGCACTTTCAGTTTCAAAGGTTATTCGTTTTTTATTCCGCTTTCCTGAAATGATCACCCTATTCGTTTTCTGTTTCATGCATATTAAACTTCAAATTACGAATCTCCATACAATTCGCTAGCGTATACAACGTATATTCTGTGATTTTTATTTTTATTTTATGCACTGTCAGATGCTAGGTATTTAATTTCAATATCATTATAATCGGTTTACGGGAAGTTATGCTTTCCATCACTACCCTATTCTATTTAGATCTTCATTGTCGTCAGCTCCCTCTGTATTAAGCCCTTAATGGTCATCCTGACAGTATGAGTTGAAATTAAACCGATTGTGTTGTGTTTTTAGTATCTTTATCCACCTATATTTGAGTATTTACTCTGCAGTTATACATCAATTGCATACCATCCGAATGCTGATCTCGATTTGTCCTTCAAAATGTCAAATTTATTTTTACCTTCCATCTTATTTAGCTGGCTTCTGTCAATTCCACTCTTGATCTACTAAAGCATTTCATATCGAAACCGACTTATAGATAGCTATTGTTGGGATTCACGTTAATTTCCATTTTCCTACTTTTATCGTTTTGATCTTTGCTGAATTTGCCCGCTTTTGTTTTTGTTGAAGGCATAGTAACGTTCTTTAATTCATTTTAGCTCTTCCCTTCATTAAGGTATTGTCGACTATGGCCGTTATCAGTTCGCTTGTCTAATGCCTTTGATAATTCGCTTTCTTAAAGCTAGATCCTTTGTAGCACCTAGCTTATCAAATATTCGGCTATACTCAATTAAGAATCCATTCGGGAATTTGCATGTCGCCTTCACTTTGATCATACTTTATTCCATATGTAATCTCTGTCTTCAACAATTCTTTATCAATCGGCTCCATACTGTGGTGCTACCTTTCTTCCTCTTATTCTCCACACGGTCCAGTTAGCACCTCTGAAGCCTCTTTACCTTCGCAACCAGTTTCCCTAACTAAAAGAAGGCATCTTCGCACACACCCCCGTTTACCATGCATTTCGTACCAGTGTAGCACGTCCAACCTATTCCACAGCCCGGTCCACTAAAGTCTTTCTGTAACGCACGCCCTGCCACACTTCTGAAACGTGCTAACGTCCCACCACTATTCACTCCGATTCGATCTTTCTCTCTTTAGCTAGACGCCAGCCCAGCTGTGTCCCGCTATGCACGCGCGACTAGGCCAAATCTTTGTTAGCATGCACCTGCACTGGTGTCTGCGTCCAAACGCGTCCCTTAGGGCGTTCTTTGTATATACCCGTTGTCCAAATGCACATTGGCCTGTTCGTATCATTTGCCTCCAGCTGGAGCTGTCTCTGATTTTGTCTCTATGTCTGCCTCCAACTGCATCCCACTCGTAAAACTCGTCTGCCTGCCTGCTCTGCCTCCATAGTCCTATATGTCCCCGCTTAGTCATTTCTATGCCTTCGTTCGCTCTCGCGCCTCTCACTTTACCATCCTTGATACTCCATTGCCCTGTCTCTTTTGCGCCTCATCTTACTTTATCTTGAGCTAGACACAGAGACTATAGTGTCTGGCTTAGTCATCCTCTTGGTATGGTTGCATTTAGGCCCTTTATTTTGACCCAGCACGTCGATTAACTATCCGTCTTGACAGCCAGCCAGCCAGCCAGCCAATCGGCCGCCTGCCTAAGGAGTCTAAATCTGGTTTCTCTTACCCCTACTTTGGTCGCACTTGAACCATCCGTTTCCTTTCTCTTCGCCTTATACTTTGTCAACGTTTTTCTATTTTTTGGAGTAGTAGGAATTTGCTTACCCATCCGTCATGCCTGGTAAATGAGATGAATTCTCAAGCGAATTTGTTTTTATTAGCATTTTATACTTTCGCCGCACATACTGAGGGGTTTCGGTCAACACCTTAAACAAGCAATGAAAACCAAAGGGATATTCAATTTATAAAATGTCTACGCAATCCGTTTTCTGTCCGTAATTCCAGCTGCTAATAAAATTAATATGTATGGACAGCTTTTGTGGTTATTATTTAATTTCCATAATGTATAGCAATTTCATTGCTATGGTCCTGGAAGCCTG